TGGATGATGGGATATTCTATGTAATCCTCGGATACTCTTGTAATGGCCATCAAGATTAGCCATACTGAAAATGGGAGGTTAAGTTACATGACTACACATATCAAAGTCACATTCCTGTGACAGTCATACTTTCATTTGCGGCACAGCCATACTTTGAAAAACTAACCTTTAAATCTGAAAAATGCTGGTTAATTCATCAGCATATCTAAAGTTATGCATTTAGTTGTCTTGTTTATAAAAAATATCACATAAATTATTTTATGAAATTGTTGTGAAAAGTTCAAAATTACAAGCCCTGTTTCAAAGAATATATGCTGAACATTATGTCTTGATCTTTTACTCACTTACCTTTAACTATTGACGTTCCTAGTAAATCCAATTTCACAAAGTAATTGAATAAAGAAACAGACAATCCTGAGAACAGCGTATGTATTGACATCACACCGTGAAACAGACAACAACAAATGTTCCAGCTGTATCCCGAGGCGAACATAACAAGTAAGCTAATTACAGGTGTAGTTGACAGGTAACCATCCATTTGTCACAACAAAGTCACTCCCTATCAAACCATCGCATCCTCTGTGATGCACACCTTTGATGTCCCACCTGACAGGTGCTTGTGTCACCAATAGCAAGCAACTGACCCAGCACATGGACAAATGTACATATAATTGGGGCAATGTGAAATGTACTCGTGGGAATCGATGGTCATGTATTCATATTTCTTCTCATATAAGTAAAAATCACAGGCTTCCATGCTTCAGAGTAATGTGATCCTATTGTTAAGACACGACAATACAGCTATCATATAAACATTTATTGTCAATTTTATTACATCCTAATAATTAACTTACGTACTCATCCTTAACTAACAATAGACAACAACCTTCAAACGAATACTTTTTAAACTACACTTACTTGACATATGTTTATATGATCTTGACAAGGAATTGACAACAAAACATGAAATTGACGACGAAATGCAACACCCTTCTAGCATTGTAGCTATTGTGTGACAACACACGGCCGTGCAATAAACACGATAAATATGTCCATAAGAAATCTCATGGGAAAGCAATTCATTATGAAAGTGGCACATAATAAATTCAGTAAAGTGACATGGTAGATCAACAACTCTCCCACTTACCATTAAACAAACAATAGCTGTATACTGAATATGTACAACCTCACCAGTGAAATGTCTAACTGTCAAGTGTGATATCAATCAGTTATATGTACACGACAGGGAATTTCACTTATTTACACTATCTGTGTTTGCCAGTGTCTAATACCTTAGGAGTCACCCAGTGAGAGGAAGAGTACACAAAATTATGTGACAATTGAGAATATGATATCGATGAAATTACTTGGCCGTTCTATCAGAGACATGTTATCTATGGGCACTGTGCATAAAAGGTCCCCAATAGCCAATTTACCATTATACAATTTAGATAAGGGCCCTCAGTAGATTTCATGCACTCTGCGTAACCGTATATATTCTTAAAGAGCCATGAATGGTGTACCTGACCCTATGGCATTCACACTGAAAATAAGCACAATGATGGAATTACATAAGTTCGGTCATTAACTCCTGGTACGATTACTCAGGGGCTGTTGTCAACGCGTTGAGCACTTGTCGACCTCAGGGTTGCCAATTTCATAAGACTCGCTTTCAATAATATCAACACCCTTGTCAATTTCACCATGATCTTTGACATGTAATATACAGAAAATGTAATTTGTTTTAAAACTCAATTTGATTATGAAATACAGTGCTTGTCTACGAGGTATTTATATGAAGGAGTTTCTAAAAACTTGACAGCAACGAGCAATACTTTTTCTTCCTGTCTCTTTAAGTAACATGGAATACATTTCATGTCAATATCTCTCGGTTTACATTTACATTTAAAGGCATTATTTTTGCTGTCTAGTACAATACTTGGCATCAAACTAAACTTACTCACTCAGTCACTCTTGTACTGATAAGCCTGTCTTTTTTTTTTTTTCTATTTGTTTCAATAGTTAATAAATTTCACTTATATCTGTTGATGTTTCAGGAAATTGACCTTAAATCCATTCTCCAAGTTCTCCGCTCCACCTCTGCTTATTGACCAATCTAAAAAATGCCCACATATAAACGACAAAGAAATTGTCTGTTACATCCATCATGTGCCTTATCTCTCTACTTTTACACCTAAACCATTTTCACCATTCCAGACATCTCGACACATAGAAATTCCTGCTTTCAGCTTATCTGTCTTAACCATCCCATTCATCTGACCAGTGATCAAACTACGCATCTTAAAACACAATGTTATTATTTTGTAATGTCCACAGTAAGTGTTGAATCAGCTGTTTTCATTATCTGTTAAACATTTAGATTGAAGAGTAGAACCACTAGTTCCATCAAAGTGTAGCTTAGATGGGCCCATTGATCATACCTTCCACTTTAGCATAGACTTTAGTGCTGTTAAGATGATCATAACTCCCATACTTAACATAACATAGACTTGTGGTAGTTAGACTTGTAGTGTTAAGTTGATCATAACTCCCATACTTTAACATAGACTTGTGGTAGTTGTAGTGTTAAGTTGATCATACCTACCATACTTTAACATAGACTTGTGGTAGTTCTAGTGTTAAGTTGATCATACCTACCATACTTTAACATAGACTTGTGGTAGTTGTAGTGTTAAGTTGATCATACCTACCATACTTTAACATAGACTTGTGGTAGTTGTAGTGTTAAGTTGATCATACCTACCATACTTTAACATAGACTTGTGGTAGTTCTAGTGTTAAGTTGATCATACCTACCATACTTTAACATAGACTTGTGGTAGTTGTAGTGTTAAGTTGATCATAACTCCCATACTTTAACATCGTCTTATAGTAGTTGATCATAACTCCCATACTTTAACATAGACTTGTGGTAGTTGTAGTGTTAAGTTGATCATAACTCCCATACTTTAACATCGTCTTATGGTAGTTGATCATAACTCCCATACTTTAACATAGACTTGTGGTAGTTGTAGTGTTAAGTTGATCATAACTCCCATACTTTAACATCGTCTTATGGTAGTTGATCATACCTACCATACTTTAACATAGACTTGTGGTAGTTGTAGTGTTAAGTTGATCATAACTCCCATACTTTAACATCATCTTATGGTAGTTGTAGCACTGATACTCTAACATAGGAATATGATGGTCTTAGTGCTAAGCTGATCGAACTCTTATACCTTAATATAAGCTAATGCTAGTGATAGCACTGAGGTCACTTTATAGAAAGGAGTAGTCTTTATGTTCAAGCTTACAAAGACACATTAAAACGGTCAAACAAAGTATATACAATGCCATTTTCTTACTCTACAAAGAACTGTCAAATCTGCAGCATGTAAAGAAAGGGGCAAAAGACTATCAGCACTAACTTCCACGCCTTTCTGAAGTTGGTTTCCTTTGGAGTGCCAAACACAAAGACATTCAAATGTGAAAGTCTCTTTGATTCACAAAAACAGTCAGTTATCAGATTACACAACTGTCTTTATTATCCAAAAAAACACTTTAACACATCTACTTTGTTGCATAAACTACTCATTAATTTTTTTCATATTGTTAAGTAGAGGCACCACATCAAACAAAAAGAACTGACTTTGGAAAATAATCGAGAACCTTCTCTTATCAAAATCAAGTAATCTAGAAAAGCGTCTCTCATTTTGTCACTGGAAGACCAAAGTCCACACAAACGTGAATAATTATTCAAGAAAGATCAGAAATCCCTTTGTATGTCTTTTTGTTTTCAAATGCCTGGCAGTCCCTAAAGAGCTTTTCTTTTGATATATTTTCAACATACTAGACACTATGGGAATTCCTATAGGCTGATCCATATAAAACTACTGTTTATATCAAAGACATTCCTTGGTGAACCCATTTACTTTTGCTGGTTTGCTATTCTGGAGTCATTGTAGGTTAACTAAAGCATGGAGACAATGACTGTTAACACTCTGCTCTTCTTGCAACAAATGTGGTAAAAACATAGCTTGACTTTCTTACACTGGTGAGATGTCAAGTTTAACATGTCACAATGTAGATTTTTGGGCAACAGATGTGCTTCCTGCAGAAATATTTCAGTCGAAATATACAAAAAACTTGACATTTGACAACTGTGTTAGAGGATTAGACAAGAAGGCTTGTCAATGCTGAGGAACACAAAGCCAGCAGCCTAGATATCAAAGCAAGGCAAGATCCCTTGAATGTGTGTAGAACAAAATAATTTGACATATGACAAGAAAATCACAAATCACTGTCACACTACAAGAATCTGTGACACTTCTGCTTAAAAAGAATAAAACAATCACCTTGATCATCTGTTAATGGTTTTAAATGTCTCTGTGGCATATTTGATAAATGAGAAATGAATTTGTCATCACCAACACTAAAGAAACAAGTCTGGATAGACTGATAAGTAAGCAATACAGCGACACATGGAGAATTTTGAAACAAAGTACAGTTAACTTGTGGGATGTCTGAAAGAAGGGGTAGTAGGGAAAGAAGGTGGGCTAGCCTAGTTGTTAAAGTATACATATGTATGCACTCACTCACTCACTCAATCGATTCATGTTTTTCATAGTCATCGGTATCATCTTAACCTTCATCAACTGGATCTTGTGCATCCACAATATCAAATAAACAATGCCATTTTTAGAAGCTGCGGTGGCTGAGCGGTCTAGGCATCTGACTTTGTGTGCTGGCGATTAGGTGCCTGACTCTGAGGGTGTGGGTTCGAGTCCCGGATGGGACTCAACCCCAAAAGTACTAGAATCTGTACTTTACTGAGAAAGTGTAATCCTAAATATAACATATGATCCACAATATCATTTTGCTGACACAGGATGATTTTGTCAAAGGTGAGTTGGATAACTCACTGTGGCCAAGTGATGGATTCAAGATTATTAGGTTCAGGTATTATATGACAAAACATCATAAAATGATTGACTTACCTGGTTACATTTTTTAGGTTGGATCCAAGCTCGTACATTTTGTTCCAGGTAAGCTTGTGCTTGGGCAGCGATGGGTAGTCCTGGGCCGGAACAGTTAGAGTAGACATTCTTGCCTTGACGAGCAAACCTGGAAACACAAACAATCTTGAATCTTGGAATGTTCAAAAGAGAATACATTCAGTCCGCCGTGCACAGTTCCAATAAAGATTCCACTTTTTATACTGACGTTCGATTTTATGAGAGTTTCCAGCAGAACTGATTTTGCACTCAGGTAAAACTTTATTAGCTATATCATTAAACACCAGTGGCATTAACATGTTGTTTCAAAAGTTTGCTGGTAGTACATAAAGGAATCAGGTCATGTTGACCTGCATAATGTAATAAAAAATGGAGTAAATAAATCAGTGTTCAGTTATTAAACTGTATGAATGGGCTACCAAAGTACAGTTTGTCTATAAGCTTATAGTGATCTTAGTATTAGGACTATCATAATTCCCTGAACATACTGTCAAAATAGTTGTAGTACTGACATAACCAAGGCATTGTGGGTAATGGAGACAACCTAGAGTTGTCTGTCCCTGATGTTATCAGAAATAGCACCACAAAACAAAAGTTCTGACCACTCAGTCGACATCTATGATGTCAGATGAAATTTGGTTGAGTGTCATGTTCAGTAATATTTCACATCATAGATGTCCTGCACATGTCCATGTCTGCATTTACCAGAACCAGCCTCCTGAGACAGCAAGTTTAACATGAATACCCCACTCAGATACATCCCACTAGCTCCGAGCCAACCAGTCCTTGTTCATCCCCTTCATGCCCTCCACCAGACAGGGTAACAACAAGTTCCATCTTATAACATCTGTTTGTATGACACAGCCAGGAGACAATCACCAACTTCAGCCCTCCAGTCAGACACTCTATCCACTACACCACACTCCAACACCCAGGGCCCATCATGAAGCATAGGTAATTTAGATCCACAAGTAGTTCTAGTAAAGTCATATATTCCCAGCAGTAGAACCTGTTCCGCAAGTGACTGCAGCGCCGGATTTGGTACCTATGACAGCCTTACCCCAACAGACATAACATGGAACTGGCCTTGGTTCATTGCTATGAACTTAGTGCCCATCCTTGGAATATCTCCCCAGACACTGCAAGATGACTTTATACTACACCTCTAAGTCTCTGTGCAAGTGTTCCAGAGATTTGGAACAGGACAACTCTACAAACCACAGAAATATCCACTCACAAAATGTTTATTTATAATTCTAACAAAAACATAGACTTAAAGAACACATGAATAATCTATGTAAAATATGTGTAGTTTCTATCTCCATGCATGATGTCTAGACACTGATGTTGTTAGCACTGACATGCTGTATCACAGCAGCATAGGTGGACCAACAACCTCATCTATATCATCCAGTTATAGTCCACCATAAAAGTGTCTGATATCCACTGGGCAAATTGAACCTTGAAATGAAGGAAACATATCCCATATGAAACAGAGCCAATGAAAATTCCATGTATATAAACACAGTGATTGTGACAAGTGCATATGTCACAAGTCCCCTAGCCTTGCTCCAAGGCTGTACTGAATGCTAAGCCCATGGATGTATGGTAATACTACCCTTTTAAAGAGACAAATCTTGGTAAGTGGACAGAACATGAATGGCAGTCAACTTGTTCTTTTATTACATTTTTCTAGAAATTGTTGTTTAAGCTAATAATAATTGCATTAAAGACTTGTGCAAGTCTACAAGTCCCACAAATAAGTTGTCTGATTCACTGAGCCATAATATGATTCTCACAGTCGTACAAACACCAGGACATCCATATTTCAATATTCTCCATGAATAAAATTTATAGTTGTCATTTCAAAAATTGATAAAGATTACAGTTGGGACTGTAACTATGTATATATCCCATGAAAATAAACACAAAAGTTATCAAATGCCGGCTTGTGTCTAGACACCAGCGAACCCAGATGTCACCTTCCCCTCTAGAGCTGTACATCCTTGCCCATCAACATTTGCTGCAGAATAAACCCCGATGAGGTAAATAAACTTAGACTTCCAGGAACCGACTTGTCTATCTCCCTGACTTGAAACACTGTTTCATTTCACTCAATATACTGTCAATCAAATATTCCAGGTCCTAACTGAAATTGGTGATATGTTTTGTCAACATTTAGGTTGTACATGTCACTGATATAAATTCTGTCAATTAGATAATCTCTGTCCTAAATGAAATGGGAGATGATATAAATACCATCAATCGGATAATCTCTGTCCTAAATGAAATTGGTGATGACAAAGTTTTGTCCATATCTTCCTAACAGACTACAGCACTTTTTGTTTACTAGTATATGTATTTGTGTGTACATTTCACTCATTGCCATCAACGACACCAGGTCAAAACATGAAAAGGACACCACTTTTTTTCAGAATTGCCTCCAAAAGTAAAAATAAAATCATTTCCACAGGATTAATTAAAGGAATTGAATGTCAGTTAACAACAGGTTTCTCCTCTGGAGAAAAAGTCGTTAGACAGATTAAGCTGCAAGAGCAAGCCCTAAGTCCCTTGGTGACAATTGGCCCTTTCTGACCATGCACCTATGAGAGAGAACACATTTGACCTGCAATTGATTTCATTGTGTTGTCCGACTTGGGTCCCATACCTCCCTCTGTTGGGGGGCTTGTTGGATAGGATTGTGACACAATGTGGTCAGCCCATATGGTCACTACAGGCCAGAATACATCATTTGCATACCATTGACCTGTCTGACACCACTGGACATGAATTAAAGATGGTTTACATCCCTTGAATATTTCCCACATAGAACTGATCACGGATCCTCAAAGACTTCATGTAATAGATACTCAGTCAACATAGACCTCATAGTTATAAACAACACTGGGAATTTGATTTATGTAAAAATTCTTAAACTGAAACTGTGATTATCTCATTACTATGATACAATTCTAAAACAAAACTTGGCTTATGTTTTAATCAGGATCCCATCTATTACAAAAGAGAAAAGGAAATTTTCATGATTTTCATGAAAGGGAAATTTTCATGATTTTCATGAAAGTGACATTTTCATGAATTTCATGAAAGGAACATTTTCATGATACAGCTACAAATATGTGTTAATCAGTCAATTGTAATCAATAAAATTAAATGTACTTGAACTCAACATTTTTGTAAGCTTTTAAATCAGGACCTGGAAATACTGAAACCATAAATTTCAAAATATTAATATGATTTGTAAAAATCACATCTGAACCAAACATCCAAATAATGTTGAAGATTATTTATAACTGGCTCAATTCTTCAAAACCCTAAGATCTAAAGACCAACACAGAACTGGTTGACGGACTCAAAGACATAAAATTAGGTATAAAATGAACAAGACATAAAATACAATGCTCAGAAATACTTATCAAAAGCCTTATGATCATAGATCGATAACATTGTGACAGACAGCTCGAGACAGAACATATGATATCTCAGTGGTAACCATCACACAGGAAAGAACGCAAAACCCTACAAACTTAATCAATATAATAAGCTAGCTATAGCTAGGTACCTTCATAGCAGTGATGTAATTATTTAAGGAAGGCAGGCTACCATAACATCTTCCATGACAGGATTATTTGTGGGCGTGATTGGCACGTTACCTCTTGTGGATCATTCATTCTGCTTTCCGACATACTGTCCTTGAATGTTTCCACATAAAACATTTGAATGATTACTCAATACAATGTTTGCCCTGTTCTGCTGAAAGCAAACAGGCGCTGTTTGGGATATAGATTTGGAATTATTCCTATAACATTCTGATGCCATGGTGGTCTAGCACGGAAACAGCGACCATGATCAAATTGGGCTTTGTAAATACATATACAATATTCATAATGATACTTCATCATGTGGATACAAGTGTACATGAAATTGAAAACTATCTTAAAAAAGCACTATGCTGATAAGGACATATAAATGTCTGGACATAACCGTCAGGGTGTTACATAAATCAATATTCGTAACAAGAAAGAACATCACATTTGGTATACATTAAACAAAATCTTCTGATACTGCTTTGAGTGTACTCAACTCTTGAAACCAAGATCACACACATGAGATTTGGTTGAAATATATCATGCATGGATGTCAGAAAATATCATACAAATATTATTAAGGAAATATGTGATCAACATCAAACGAAATATTTCAACTTTTCCTCACATTAAAGGAAAAAATATAATTGAATAATTCACCGTTTCCTTGGAGCACCCTGTTGCTGGTCAAGCTGCACAATGTGCGCAGCCCCTTTAAGAATGATGACAAGCATGCTGCATGTGGAACGCATATTACTCACGTCTCTCCATCAGTTCCCCTTGATCAATATCCCATTCCCTCAATTCGGTATTCACCCCTTCTGCATGGCCTAATATACCCCTTGCCACCTGTCACGGGAAACAGAACCCCACCACTGAGGGATTTTTAAGATAAATGTAAGATTCTGATAAAAATTTTGATTCAGGGGAGCAAATTTGTTTCATGTCCCTTTCATCAGTTTGATCAGAGCCGTTGCGCATTTCAAGACGTAAATTTCCATCGCTATACGCTATTTACAGCTGTCAAGCTGGCTCAAACTATGGAGCTCGCTGATTGCAGGGTAATCAGACATTGGTTCTATTTATCAATCATCACACTGGCCGAGGTACAAAAAATATTGCCAAGAATTTATGCAAACTTTGCCATCTGATAATAGGAAAGATGTGAGAATTGCCTGAGGGGTATTGAGTCTTGGGGAGTTTTACTGCAGGAAACATAACCCCTGCCTCTTGCTCTCAAGACGTGGATTACACTTGTTAATAGCGGGCGACATAAAATCTCAACTCCAAATCACTGGTTCACTAACATGTGGCTCATTGCCCAGCTGTTCTCTAGTTCCGTGTTCTCTTCTGAGTTATCTGCCCTTTGTGGTAAATTGACTTAGTGAGTGGTCAAGACTTGAGTAATTTATTGATGAAATTAATCATTCACTCTGTTAGTGAACAAACATCTCACATAATCCTTTCCAAATTAAATATTTTTTTCAAACCAAACGCTACTGCT